TAAAAAACTCAAAAATTAAGATTTGGATGGACACAGTATTGATAGCAGTGGTCCGCTATGAATGTAAGAATAAAGGTTTAGCCAAGCATTCTACAAGTGTTTTTGGAAAGAACTTTTAAACTTTTACAAAAAGCCACGGTTCAACTACAAATGGAAAGAGTTTGTAAAAAGTACTTTTTCTCAATATTTCGAGCTATAAGCAAAACTATCTCCACATAAGAGCAAAACCGACACAAAAAAAAAACCCATGTCCCAATCGATAGCGACTGACGACGTAGAAAAATTGCATACCGAACCTGCTTAAGCAAACATCCATCTGTTTTATTTCTTAGTGCCAAACGCTTCTCAAAAAAAAAAAAAAAACAAATACTAACGTTCTTTTTTTGTAGGTGATTAGTCATCGTGCAATAATGTACATTTCTGGCAAAATGTTAACACGTCTAAACTTCCGACTGTACAAAGTCTTCCAGAAGTTTAATTCACTTTCAACGCATTGAAACAACTAAATCTTTTTGCCTTGGTTTAAAACTTTCAATACTAGTCAAAAAAAATATTACTCGCATAATAAGAGTGTTTTATTAGATGTTCAATATTTTCTAATAAAAAGAGAAAAACACCAAAATTGTTGCAGCATAGGCATACTAAAATTTTTTTTCGCTATTTCAATCGTTTTTTTTTTTGAGCAGAATATAAACTAATATTTTTCAACAGCAAACTCTGAACCGAATGAATCATTATTTTGTGAAAGTGCATCTATCAAGTACGGCTTTTCAGATAGCTTTTCAGATTACACCTAACTTAAACATCTAAACTGTCTCAGCAAAAAATTATCTTTATAAAGAAAATAAAAACAAGCTTTTTTTGTAAAAGTTTTATGATAGCTGGCAAAAAAATTTTGAAAGCTTTTTTTCAGTAAAACAAAGTTATTTTTGTCATTCTGATATCTAAACATATAACGACAAACCATTGATTTATCAGTTGATGTCCTCTCAGTTTAGTACCAAAAAAAAAATTATAGATCCACTTATTATCCACAAATTACCACATTGGGTATTTAATGGTTTCTACAAGCAGTAAAAGTGTTTCTATTAAAGGTGTCTTTTTAATGCTCTTTGTTAATGTCTTGTTAAACAAGCAGTAAATAAGTTTAACTTAAGAAGACTACTTGAAGACTCTGCTTAACTTTCTGCTAATTGTTGTTTAAAATTGCACTAATTATTTTATGCACTAATTAATAACATAATATAAACCTTTTTTTTTTATCATTTTTAACGGTAACAACTGATAACATATGACATGTGTAACGTATTACCCCATTAACCATTAACATTTTACTAAGTAAAATGTTACCCATAAAATTACCCAGGGACATTTTCCGTTACTTAAATAGCAAACTTACAAAACAAACTACACAGTTCTCAACCATTTTTTATAAGATTGTAATAGCAAGATTTCACCCGATTTGAAAGAAAAAAAAAAAATGCTTTGTAGTTTTTGTTTCAACAAATATACAAATGTAAAAACGTTGTGTAATTGAAACATTTTTTCAAACTAAGAAATATTTTAAATCATAGATGCAACTGCATCAAGAAACTTTATTACTTATTCAACCAAAAAAAAGAAGAAAAAAACAAGTTATTTATTTTTTGTTCATAAAAATTGTTCATGGAATATTCAGTGCATACCTTCGCTGGTATCAAACAACGAACCGCTGTTGAAGAAATAATAACGATTATTGATTAACTCTATTCGGTTAAGTAGTTTTTTAATTGCTGCCGGTAAAACACTGTTTCGATCGCTGGACGACACTATAGTTACAATGTTAGGCTTCATCCAAGTTGGAAACAACGAAAGTGTCTAGAACAATTTTCTATATTACACCTGTTCAAAACCTACAAGTTGATTGAATCTCTGTATAAATTGATATTTTTGTATTGAAAGTTAACTACGCAAAACTTTGGTTTTTGTTTAGAAATTACTTCAAAAATTTTTTTGCAAAAGAAATACGTTTAAGAAAAGAAGGAAGAAAAATATTTTGGATAAAAAAAAAAA